ACTCCCGGCCACCGCATCCTCGACCTGCTGGGCTCCGGCGATCCTTCCGCCTCAGCCTTCGGAGTAGCCGGAGTTACAGGCATGCGCTACCACGCCTGGCTGATTTTTTTGATTTATTGTAGAGATGAGGTCTCACCAAGTTGCCCAGGCGGGTCTCGAACCCGCAGGCTCAGGCAATCCACTCACCTCAGCCTCCCAAGGCGCGGGATTACAAGCTGAGCCACCGAGCCCGGCTTGACCATTATTTACATTTAGTCTGTCAGTAACTTGAAATAGAAGGGAGGGCAAAGTGAAATAGAAGACACTCCTCGGAGACACTTCCCGTAAAATGGGACAAGGCTAGTAAATACAAGAGGCAGTAGGGGAAAAAAAAAACGGCAACAAAAAATCACGATTATCTGGGGTCAGGGCCTGCTCACAGCGGCCCAGGCTGGGAAGGATGAGGCCATTCAGGGTCACTGTCCTGTTCTGCATCCTCAACATTTCCCACCATGGTTCCTGTCACTGGCTCACCCAAATATCACAGAGGCCTGCCTTTCCTCCCCAAGTGCTAAGTGCTCTCTTCCCCGGCTCTCTTTGTTGTCGAGTCAGGCCCTCTCTGCTGCCTAAGACCTAGCACAAGAACCCGGGGTGTTTATGAAGGGCAAACCAGGAAAAGGCAGCCGAGGGGAGTCGATGGCTCCACTTCCACCCTGAGATCCTCAGCGCTGCTTGTCCCTTTGATCCTGGCCTCACTTTGATTTCTTCTCCTCTCCCTGCCCAGGCCTCTTCAGTTTCTGAAGTTTATTTCAGAACCGGGTTAAGAGACACCGAAAGACAATACACCCCCAAAAAGGTATCGATGTGCCAGGAAAGTGATAAACTGTGAAGAAGCCCTTTTTGTTGTTGTTTAGTCAGCACCATATACATTCAAATCACAAACACAAAATGGATTCTGAATCCAATGTGTTTTTAAAAACAATGATTCCTTCTCTTCCAACTATTTCTACCCCAAACCTTGCCTCACACAGAGGAGTCTCACGACCTCATTTCGCACGGCTAGCCGATCAAGCTCAAAGAACGTGTCAACCTCAGAGAAGGGAAACCAGAAATGTTCCAAGTTTTGAAATGAAGAACTGAAACAACTAGCAGAATATTTGGTCCTCAAACCTGATATTTGGTCTAACATGTCTTTCTTCAATGTACCTATTGAGCACTTGAAATGGGGCTACTGTGACTTAAGAACCAAATTTTTTATTTTAATTGATTTGAATTTAAGTAGCATATGTGGCTAGTGGCCCTCATATTTACCAGCACAGCTCTGTGCCGTCATCCAGACTTCTTTGATAACTTTTTATGTGTCACAGAGGGGTATCTAGTCGTTGCAGAATTACACACTAGACTTGAATTCTAGACTCTCATTTTTATTGTTTAAATGCAATGCTGGATCATCAAAGTGGTTACCTCATTTTATACAGACAGTCTTTTTTTTCCCCATTTATTTCCATTTTTATTTGATGCTTCCAAATATAAAAAACTCAAGATTCTTACACCGATTATGTCAAATGAGACCATGCAAAGCAACTCAGTGTGTACAACAATCATTTCTCCCTTCCGCTCTGCTTTGTGATTCGACAGCACGTCCCTGCTTGGAAAATCAGACAGTCATATAGATTTGGCTGAGCAGTGTGCATAATGTTCATAAATGGTCTTTCCTCAAGTGACAATTTGGGATCACTTGCTGGTTAAAGGTTTATGATACGAAAAGTTTCATTAACATTGTCATTTGACTCAATCTCATTTAGTTTTGATCACTTTGTTCTCTGCTAACCATATAATGAAACTTTGCTGTAGAAGTTTTCTGACTCTGTGGGATGTCAGATGTGACAGGACATTAAATTAGTATATATCACATATCTTGTGTGAAGTCATATTAGACAAGGACAAGTAAAGAGACAGACATCAGGAGAACACAGAACCTGCCGATATCTGTCTTTTTTTGCTTCCAAATAATTTATTAAAGTGTTAGCAGACACTCAGAGTAACCTAAGATCACTTCTGGACTCTGGTTCCCAATCTGCAAGTATTAAGTGTGTATTTCCAAAATACTGTCTTT